GCAATACTACTTTTATAATCCTACAGTAACTTAATGGGCTTGTGCTAACTAAAATTACAGATAATTTTTCTAAAAATGTGCTAATCAAACAACTAAACACAAAAAAATCCATTATTATGGAGTTGGTTCTGATTCAAAGCAACTTTGTATGTCAGAGTAGAACTGTCCAACAGGGTTTCCAAGGCTATAATCTTTATGAAAACAGACAGTCACATCAGTCTTCCATGGAGCAACTGGAAGGTTTGAACTATTGATGTTTTGATTAGCAAATGTATGCTTTAACCGCAAAGGCAGCAGACCTCCTTTAGGCAACCAAAGACGTATTCAAGCATGTTGTTTTTGTGGACCATTGAATAGAAACCAACACATAGCAGAACTTCCGAGGGGTTTCCAAGGCAGTGAAACACATAGGAAGAGATTGCTCATCTTTCTTCCGTGGAGCTGCTGCTGGATTTGAACCACTAGGCCACCAGAGCTCCCCTGCACTGTTGTTGTTGTTTTTGCTGTGTACTGTAGAGTCAGAACTGACCCACAGTTGACCCTCCAGTGGATTTTCTGAGGCAGTTAATAACACAGGAGGAGATTGCCCATCTTTCTCCTTCAGAGCAGCTGGTGACCTCAAACCATGTGGCTTTGGGATTGCAATACAACTTCTGGCCAGTAGGCCACCATCTACATAGCATATTAATAACTATGGAAAAACTCAGAGTATAGAGACTCAGGTGAAAAGAAGTAAAAATATTCATGCTGACTAGTGAGAATGCAGAGTAACAGGAATCCTCATTGAAAGAAGAGAGACAGAAGCAAAGAGAAGTCAAGGCAATAGAGGAAAAAAGAGAGCAGAATCGGAGAAGAGGTGAAGTACTTCCTAAAAGAACTGCCACATGGGTGAAGGGCTCTAATAGGGAAGGCAGCGTGTGCCCAGAAGGGATGCTATGGCAGAGTCAGCAACAACAGGCCTGGGATGTACCCTGAGGCAAGGCTGGTGGAAACTACAGAAAATTGCAGCTAGGACTGCAACTACAAGGGCTGAAAGCAACTGCTACACTGTCTCTGAGGAAGATCAGCTAGCAGTGGAAAGGCTAATTGCATGAAGGCTGTTAGACTGTAAGAAGCCTTGGTTATGCAGAGCATAATATATCAGCATGCTAATTTATTTAGTGGCAAGAAGCAATGCTGCAATCTCAAAGGCACGCAGTTCGAGTCCATCAGCTGCTCCGCAGTAGAAAGATGGGCATTCTACTTTCGTGCAATTAACTGCCTCTGAAAATCTGCTGGAGGGTAAGCTATGGGTCAATTCCTATTATATGGTATGCAGTTCACCCACTAAAAGGGAATGTAAGCTGGGATTAGACCTTTGTGAGACATATTAGTTTTCCCTACTGATAATATATTGTTGCCATGGTACTTAAAGTAAACAGTTTGAATCCTCTAGCCACTCTGGGGGATAAAGATGGGCATCCTTTTCCTATTGAGGGTCACTCTAAGTCACAACCAACTTGAGGGCAATGGGTTATTCTATGACTTGAGAAATTTTCAGGTAAAGGAGTTTAATTTTGCATTTGCAATTCTTCCAAATATCAATATGTCATAACAGCTAACATTTTATTCATCTTTGTAAACTGTCTTTGCAAAATCCCCTTGACTTTCCCAGACCATTTATGCATACTCAAATTAGATATAATATTCTCAGATATAAAAGATGCTACAGTTTCCAAATAAACAACAAAAGAATCATTTTACTGTGAAATAGGGTTTGTTTACTATGATTTCCTGTCTAGCTCAACATAAAAGGTATTCAGTGAATATTCATTAAAAAAGAATAAAATGGATTTTTTTAACCTTCTCCAAGCCCTACTTCTTTGTTGTTGTCAGGTACTATCCAGTTGACTACAGCTTATAGTGACCTGTGAACAATAGATCTGAACCTTGCCCTATTCTGGAAAATCCTTACCATCTCTGATATGCTTAAACCTATTTTTATACCCATTGTGAAAATCCATCTTGTTGAGGGTCTTTTTCTCTTTCTCTGATCCTCTACCTTTCTCAGCATATTATCTTTGGAGAGGGCCTCTTAAGAGTAGATATTTCCTTTTTTTAAAAAAAAATTCTATTCATTCATTGTTGCACTTTTCTCCCCTCCCAACCCTCCCCTCCCCAGTACACTACCCTCCTGGAAAAGTAAAAGAAAAATTCTTTCATTGTTTTACAATCCCTCTCCCCAGGTCCACTCCACTATACAGCCTTCGTTCTGGACTCCTGTCATGACAAAAACACCTAATAATGTTCCATCTTAAACAGTTTTCTCCCTCATCTGTTTCAGTGCAGTATACATTATTGAGCCCATCCTTCTCAGTTTCCTCCCAACCCCGAGGTCAGTCCTGCTTTACAACAGTGGCACCATGCAGTATTTGTCCTTTTGTGACCGAGATACTTCACTCAGCATAATGTCCTTCAGGGCCACCCATTTTGAATAATATTGCATGAGTTTCCTGTTTTTCAATGCATCATAGTATTCCATTGTGTGAATATACCACAGCTTCTCTACCCATTTGTTTTTTGATGGGCACTTAGGTTGTTTCCAACTCCTTGCTATTGTGAACAAAGCCATAATAAACATGTGTGTTCACAAAAAACCTAAAAAAACCCCACATAATCCTCATACCACAGGATGTTTATATAAATAAATGTAATTGTTATTTATTTTTTTTAAAGAGCAGATATTTCCAATGAAATATCTCTTTTTATTTTTTGACTGTTGCTACTATGGACATTGATTGTCCCAATTTCATTGCATTTTTTTTTTTGCTTTGAACAGATACATTTTATTTTCAAAGAGATCTTTTCTTTTTTTTCTCTTTCTTTTTTTTTCCTTGTTGTGTATTGTGGAATCTGATCTGACTGGCACAGGAGTACACTACCCCTTACTTCTCCCGAGGAGCATCTGGTGGACTCGAAATGTGTGCCTTCAGGACTGCAACACAGTTTCTTACCACTAGGCCACCAAAGCTCTCTTAGAAATCTTTTATTTATCAACTGTAATGTCATGTGTAACTCTACTAATTTTTTAAAGACGCAATGGACGATATCTTTGTTGTGTAATTTTTTTTTTTTTACTTCAAGGAGCCCTGATGGCATGCGCAGTGATCAAACACTTGGCTGATAACGAAAAAAACTGGTGCTTTGAATCCACCAGTCACTCTACAGGGGGGAAAAATGTGGTAAAATGCTCTCATAATGATATATAGCCTTAGAAATCATATGGGATAATTCTACTTTGTATTACATGGTTATTGTTGTTGTTGTGTGCCGTTGAGTTGCCTGCAACTTATAGCAAACCTATGTACAACAGCCCTAAATCCTGCTCTATCCTGTGATAATCTCACTGTCTCCAACACACCTACCATTAGCCCAGTCACTGAATCAATCCACCTCATAGAGGGTCTTCCCCTCTTGCGCTGTCCCTCCAATCCCTCAAGCATGGCGTCCTTCTCCAAGGACTGGTCCCTCCTTGCAGCATGCCGAGAGTATGTCAGACAAAGCTTCAGAATCCTTCTCTCCAAGGAGCAGCCCAGTTTAACCCTCTCCAGGATGAATCTGTTCATTTTCTTAGCTGTCCATGCTCTATTCAATACTCTTCTCCAACACCACAGCTCAAAGACATCAATTCTCCTTCTATCCTTCCTAGTCATTATCCAGCTCTAATGAATAGCAAGTGATTGCGAAGATCATGGCCTGTATAAGGCACACCTTAGTCTCCAGAGTGACACTATTGCTCTTCAGTACTGTGGAGAGGTCCCTAACAACAGACTTTCCCATCACAATGCATCTTTTAATTTCCTGGCTGCTGGTGCCAAGAGTGTTGATTGTGTAAACAAACAAACTAAAGCTGTTAACAATCTCAGTCTCTTCCTCATCCATCCTGATGCTGCCAAGTGGCACAGTGGTGAGAATCTTTGCTTTCTTGATATTGAAACTCAATCCATATTGAAGGCTACAGTCCTTGACCTTCTGTAGCAAGTACTTCAGGTCCTCAATTTCAGCAAGCAGGGTTGTGTCATCTACATAACCCAGATTACTGATAAATCTTCCTCCAATCCTGATGCCACTCTTCTCTTCATAGAGCCCAGCCTCCTGAATAATCTGTTCTGAATATAGGTTGAAAAAGTATGGAGATAGGACACATTCCTGGCGTACACCCTTCCCAATTTTGAACTATGCAGTATTTCCTTGCTCTGTTCTGATGACTGCCTCCTGGTCCAAGTATAGGTTTCACATTAACACGATCCCCATTCTTCTCAGAGTCAGCCACAGTTTGTTATGATGTACCCAGTCAAACACCGTTGCATAATCAATGAAACATAGATAGACATTCCTCTGGTACTGCCTGCTTTCAGCCAAAATCCATCTAACATTAGCTACAATATTCCTAGTACCATGACCCCTTCTAAACCCAGCCTGCACTTCTGGTAGTTCTCTGTTGATATGTTGTTCCAGTCGTTTTTGGATAATCTTCAGCAGAATCTTGCTTGCATATGATATCAATGTATTGTTTGATAATTTCCACACTCTGTTGGGTCACCATTCTTTGGAAAGTGAACAAATATAGATCTCTTCCAGTCAGTCGGCCAAGTGATTGTCCTCCAAATTTCTTAACACAACTTGGTGAACACGTCCAGGGAAGCATCTGTTAGCTGAAATACGTCAATTGGTATACCATCTGGGGCCTTATTTTTTGCCATTTCCTTCAAAGCAGCCTGAACTTCTTTTATCACCATAGGCTCTTGCTCATATGTTGTTTCATGAAATTCTTCTGTGTCTGTCAATTCCTGCAGGTACAGTGATTCTGTATACTCTTTTTCATCTTCTTTTAATGCTTCCTGGATCATTTAATATTCAGCCCAAAGCATCCTTAAGTATAGCAACTCGGGGTTTGATTTTTTTTGTTCTTCAGTTCCTTGAGCTTAAGAAATGCATGGAGTTATTTTGTTCCAAATTACCTCAACATCAGAGAGCTAATTTTTCCCCAAAGATTTAAAATTGATGGAATTTCAGGAATAGCATCCTATAAGACAGAAATGTGCCAGTTCAATAAAAAAAAAATTCCTGCAATGCGTGCATTTGTATCCTTCTTTTGTGTATCTTTTTTTCCCTTCTATATAGGTTCTTTTCTCTATGTAGATTCTTGTTGAGAAAAAAGTTAGAGATTTCCACTTTAAAGAAGATTAAATGATGATGTTTTATTTCATAAAAACAAGCAAAATATCAAACTTGTTGATTCTGACTCATGGTGACTTGTGTTAGAGCAGAATTTTCTTGGCAGAAATATTTACAGATGAAGTATTTACAGAAGCAGATCCTTGGACTTTTCTTCAGTGGTGACACTGGGTGGGTTTTAACTGCTAACATTATGCTTAAAATAAAAACAAACCCGAAACACAAATTAATTGCTGTTGATTCAGAAGTAACCCTTCCATGGGTTTCCAGGGCTATAAATCACATGGAAGGAGAGTGCCATCTTCATTGCCTTATCAGCACAACTCTTAAGGACTATGCTACCAGAAATACATGTAACCTGCATGATAACTGTTGTGACATTGAGTAATCTACTTTACTATAGGGCTGAAAACTTTCACTTCTTATTACTGCTTCTTCATTCCTTTACATGAATAGCACATATTACATATCAAGTTAGATCATATTTTCCATCTGAGTAAGGGCAGAATTATTATATAAAATTAAAATATTTTTATTACACATGTATGTGTACAACAAAAATTTCATTTAAATGTGTTTAAATATTGTCTCTGAGAATGCAATTTCTAAATGATGTCTATATTCTTGCTCTAATTAGCATAAATTTAAATGTTTAGGGAAAAATTCATCATATGAAATAGTTCAACCTATACATGCTTCAAAATTATCAGCAAACTGAAAACCACTATCACAAAGCAGTTTCAATATGTATCACTTCTATATACAGACCTGAGTTCTTGTGACTTTTTTAGAAAACTGAAACAGAGGTAAAGGAATTTCAAACACACATTCAGTACTGGATACTTGCAGGGGTAACTGCAATACTGTGAGAGCAAAACAGTAAATATGTTGGTAAAATAGTAATAGATATACATTCACATATCTTTCTTAGCATACTTTTTAACATGAAATGGTAAGGAAACACTCATATATTTGCTTCTGTTATGATTACTTTTTAATATTTTCAGAATATTGGCTTACCACACCTACAAAGTTCCAAGTTTGTGGGCGTTTGAGGGTTGTAAAACACTCTCTAGGTGATAAGGTACAATAAATACATTTAAGATTAAACTGGACAAAAAAATAGAGCTAAAATTAATTCCATGATGGGTTTTCTCAAAATAATAACATGTTAACAGTATTTTAGCTTAACTAATCTAGCCATTTCACATGAGCTCTGTTGACACAGTCCATAGGGAATTGCCCTACTACTCAAAGGAACTTCCTCTCTGGCAATTTGTTTAACATCAACTACCATCTTCCTAATTCAGAAAACAAAATTAGACAATAGCTATTTTAGCTCCAAAAGAGAACTTAAAACAAGGTGGAGGGCGAAGTTTTAACCTTGTTGAAGCTCAAAATGAGATGTGAACCCTAACACTGGATTTTGCATGGTATTGAAATAATCTTCTATCAGGTATATTTAATTTTGTGGCTGATAATAGGTTGAGTTGGCTCCAACTTATAGCAATCGTATGTATAACAGATCAAAACTGTCTAATCCCACACCAGCCTCACCATTTCTGTTATGCCTAAAACCATTACTTTAGTGTGATACTTTAGTGAAGCCATTCATGCTGAATGGTAACAGCAATTATTAATTGAGTTGACATCCATCACTATTTTATTTAGGGGAGGATTGTTATCTTTGCTAAGCTTATTGTAAATTGTTAATGTTATGTGTAAAAGTAATAATTTGTCATAAAAAATTGTTCACTGTCAGAGTATTTGCTTGTCTTGGAATTTAGCAGCATGTGATAAAGCAGAGAAATTTAAAATAAAAACATGACAAAAGTATGGTTTACAGAGTTCAACAGTTTTATCCTTGAAAAATATTTAAATAAGTGAGTAGAGAAATAATAATTAAACTTGTAACATAATTATTCATCTTTACAAGTACTTAATCCTTTAATAATTCATTTCTTTGGAGTAAAAATAAATTCTGAATAAAATTATTATTATTCTGTTATTGAAGGATAACTGAGCAAGATATGAAGAGGATAGAAAAAGGGGAGATAACTAGGATAGGAGAGTTTATTGGGCAGACGTAAATTAGGAATAGGAAAGGTTCAATGGGAACTTGAAAATATGGGGTGATAACAGGAATATATCAGTCATATGTTCACTCTGTTTTGTTTGACTAATCTGTATTTTGTACTATCATATTTTAAATCTACCCACAAAATAAGTATAATACTTTTATTCTTAATTCTAAATTATACTTTTCAGCAGGAATCATTCACCTGAAAACATGTACTATTAATCAATAAAGTTCAATATCAGAGACTCACCATTTAAATCTTACATAAACAAAGCATGTAACAGTACATCTTTCTAGCATTTCTATTTCTGAAATAAAGGATGACATTCTGACTTTTTAAAAACTTAGATGCTCAAATGTAGATCTTTAGACTATCCTAATCAAAATGAGTGTTTCACATACATACCAGTAGCCTGAACATAACACGGAGGGAGAAGTGGCTCTCTCTTTTGAGGTGGTGGAGAATCTGAATTAGCTTTAAGAAAATTTTCTGAAGCATCCATGAAATTAACTCTTACATGAAACATGAACTCCATGGTTTTCACCTGAGGAACAAAAAAATTAAATCACACTCATGACACATGACATTTATTTTAACTGTGAAAAATGTTATTCCAATAATTTAGAAAAAAATACTGTCTTGTAACAGTGACAACACTTTCAAATTTTGAAAAATAATTGTTTCTTTTCCATTAGTTTGATATTAATGCTTATTTATAATTAATCAAATTAGTGTGTTGTAATATGTTACTGAACTGAAAATGAAGCAAAGACTTCATATCTGAAACTAAAAAACTGAAAAATTAACATTAAGGAATAATGTTGTGATCCTCTGTAAGATGAAAATATCATATGTGCAAAACCAAGTAGACTATTGTGAGAATGGCACAGTAATGACGCAGAAGTGCTCCACTTTGTTGTGTATGGAGTTGTTATGAGTTGGAACTCGACATTGGATCTTATGAAATTTTAAAATACTGTAACAGTGAATGGCATAGATACAAGAATAAACTTATAAGTCACAGAAAAAATCCTGATAAAACAAAACCAACAAAATTTATATCCAAAAGACATAGTGAATACTTGAAGCTCAATTTAAAAATCAAGCTACCAAATAACCTAAAAGGCAATACAGTAAAAGAAGAAATACAAGTAAAAATCAACATATACAAAGATGTTCAAGATTATTACACATTAAGTCAATGCAAACTGAAACCACATCTGTGACAATGATTTCAAACAAAAAAAATTAGAGATGCAAATCAAAATAACAATGAGATACCATCTCACCCAGTAGTTAAAAGGAAACTAAACAATAAATATTGGAGATGTGTAGAGATTGGAATTCTCACGCACTACTGCTGGGACTGTAAAATGTTACAACCACTTTGGAAGGCAGTTTGGCATTTCCTCAAAATGCGGAACACAAAAATCCTTTACTATCCAGTTATTCCACTACTAGGAATATACCCCAATGAATTCAGAACTGAGATACAGAGATCTGTAATCCTATGTTTATAGCAGTGTTATTCTCAATGGCAAGAAAATGGAATGCAGCCCAAATGTCCATCAACAAACTGATTAAGAAACTGTGTTACATTCATACAATGGAACAGCACTAAGGGACAACAATTTAATAAAATATTATACAACATGCTCAAATCTACAGAGCATTATGTGGAGTGAAATAACTCAGTCTCATAAGGACTAATACTGCATACAATCATTCTTGTGAAAATAAAAAGATAACTGAGCAAGACAGGTATTTTGAAAAGGAAAGGGGGAAAGGGAGGAGAGGATAGAAATAGGTGAAGTAACCAGCATAGGAGAGGTTATTGGGCAGACATCAGTTAGGAATAGGAAAAGTTCAATGGGAACTTGAAAAGATGGGGTGATAATAGGAATATATTAGTAGTAGTTAATATATGACTATAAAATGCAGTATACATTATTGGAAAGCAATGTAACTGAAAGTCTGTATAAAACACAATATACATGCTTGAAAGACAATGCATATGAATGATTTCATAGAAACCAGTAAAAATAAGTTTAAAACAATATAATGCTAAGTGCTTGTGAATTTCTGAGGATGTAAATCACTTTGAGCCAAAGGCACATGGTTTGAATCCACCAGTTGTTCCATGAGAAAACGTTGGACAATTTCCTCCAGTGCAATTTACTGCCTCTGAAAACCCACTGGGAGGATCAGCTATGGGTTGGTTCTGACTTGATAGTATACATTGTCAACATTACTATATAAGGAGCACTCACTGATGATGTAGCCCATATGAAGTTGAGCTGCTAACCCAAAGACTTTACCGCTCCGGTGATTTGAATTCACCAGTTGCTTTGTGGGAGAAAAAGGTGCAATCTCCTCCTGTGCAAGTTATAGCCTCCAAAATCTGCTGGAGATTCCAGCTATGAGTTGGGTCCTACTCCGTGGCAATGAGTTGTTCGGTTGTTTTGGTTTTTTTATTGCTACATAGGGGAGTTCTACTGGTATATTCCAGGGTGAGTTGTGCTGCTAACCCAAAGGCCAGGCCTCTCTGGCTGTTCAAATCCAGTAGTGTCTCTGAGGCAGAAAGATGGACAATCTCCTTCCTTGTGATTTACAGCCTCATAAACCCAATGGAGGGACAGTTAGGAGTGAGTCTGTTCCAACTCAGTAGCAAATCACTCAGTGAGTGAATGATTGCTATATCAAAGGGATATATTTATTTATGTATGCAATCCTGAAGACACACAGTTCAAATCCACTAGCTTGTCTGAGGGAGAAAGATGAACAATCTCCTTCCATGTGATTACCTGTCTCTGAAAAACTACTAGAGGATCAGCTATGGGTCAGTTCCAACTTTATGGCACACAAAACACACAATACAAACTAACATTAGAGAGCTCTGATGGCCTAGTGAAGATGTTTGTAAAGTTAAATACATACTTAACAAAGTGCATAGGTATTTATACACCACATACTCATTTACAAAACAAAGCTAAATCAAACAACAGTACAATAAACAAACAGGAAAATTAACAAATACTGAATGCAAATTTAATGGTGACTTTAGTCACACTTGTCTTAAACCAGAATTTATCGATGTGTCTGGCCTTCAACTATTGAATGAACAACAAATTTTGGTTAATCGTTGCAATTTGTTGTTCTTGTGTACCATCATGTCAGAACTGACTTATAGCTGAACCTCAGAAAGTTTTTAGAAGCTGTAAATCACATGCTTTGATATTTCCTATTCTTGTCCCAGGAGTCAATAGTGGATATGAATTGCCAGAGAGTCACTACCTTTGAAATACCAGTACAAATACCTACAGATTATGCCACCAAACATACCTAAGAAATAGAGTATTGTTGACACCTGCCCTCACCTTACTATATTTAAGCTCATTTCCCCAGCCACTGTGCCAATCAATCTCACTGAGTTTCTTCCTCTCTTTTGCTGAGCCCCCACCTATTTAAGTATCATGTCCTTTTCCAAGGAATGGCCTCTTCTAATGACATGCCCAAAGTATGTGAAATGGAGTTTCATCCTCCTCCTCTCTAAAGAGCACCCTGGCTGCACCTTCTCTAAGATATATTTGTTTGTCTGATATTGGTAGTTCAAGGGATATTCAGTATTCTTCTCCAACACCATAAGTCAAAGGCATTGATTATTCAACTGTCATTCTTAGTCAATGCCCAGTTTTCTGATTCATCATAAGCAATTCAAATGATCATGGCTTGAATCAAGCACACCTTAGTCCTCTAACTGACATCGTTGCTTCTCGGTATTTTGTAGAGTTCCCTGACCACAGACTTCCCTAATGCTATATGATTTCTGATTTCTTGGTTGCTGCTGACAAGATGTATTTATTGTGGAACCTAATTTTGGTGGCCTAGAAGCTGTGCTGAAATCTCAAAGGCACATGGTTTGAATCTACCAGCTGCTCCACAACAGAAGGATGGGAAATCTCCTTCTTTGTGATTTAGTGCTTCTGAAAACCCACTGGAGAGTCAGTTATGAATCAGATGCAGTTCAATAGTACAAAACAACAGCAACAAGAAGACAAAATCATTAGCTACTTCAATCTTCTCTCTGTCTATCATGATTTTGCCTATTGGCCCTCTGGTGACGATTTTTTGTTTTTTAATGTGGAGATGTAATATACATTGAAGGCTGGATTCTTTGATCTTCTGTCACAAGGGCTTTAGGTCCTCCTCACTTTCAGCAAGCAAAGCTGTGTCACCTGCATTCTGCAGGTTGTTGGTGAACCTTGCTCCAATTCTGATGCCACATTCTTCTTTCTAGAGTCCAGTTTCTTGGATGATTTACTCTGTATACAGAATGAATAGATATGGAGAAAGAATACAGCCCTGGCGTACAATTTTCTTGATTTTAAATAATGCAGTGTTCCCCTGCTCTGTTCACACAATGGTCTACTGGTCTAGGTTTCACATGAGCACAATTAAGTATTCTTGTATTACCATTTTCTCAATGTTATCCACACATTATGATTCACACAATCAAACTGATATTTCCTGCTTTCAACCAAAATCCAAATGACATCAGTGATTTGCCCCAGTGTCACAGCCTCTTCTAAATCTACCTTGAACATCTGGCAGTTCTCTGTCGATGTTCTGTTCCAACCACCCAATGATCTTCAGTAAGATTTTACTTGTATGTAATATTAGTGACATTGATAGCTCCCATCTCTACACATCCTCAACAGAATTTATTTAGCAATGCAAAAACAAACAGATATGTCTTGGAGAAGATGCAGCCAGAGTGTTCTTTGGAGGCAAGAATGATGAGGCTTCGCCTCACATACTTTGGGCATGTTGGTAGCAGGGGTATTCCTTGAAAATGATGCTGGGAAGTGTGGAGGGTTGGTGAAGGAGAGGAAGCTCTTCAAACAGGTGAATTGACATGGTGACTGATGCAGTGAGCTATTGTGTGTCAGGAAATGTAAAGATGGCACAGGATAGAACAGTTCAGATCTTTTATTCTTAGGGATGCTATGAGTTGTACTCGACTGGACACTGTCTAACAACAACAATCGTTACTGATATTTTTTGGGGCGGGGGGGTGGTTACTGATCTTTTGACTGCTGCTATCAAGATTGTAGATTCAAGTAAGATGAAGGCATTGATACTTTCAATCTTTTCTCCATCTATCATGATGTTGCCTATAGGTCCAGTGGTAAGGATTTTTGTTTTCTTGACGTTGACATGCAATCCATATTGAAGGCTGCAGTGTTTTACCTTCATCAACAAGTGCTTCAGATTCTCCTCACTTTCAGCAAGCAAGATTGTATCATCTGCATACTGAAGGTTATTAATAAGTCTTTCTCCAATCCTGGTGATACATTCTTCTACACAGAGTCCAGCTTCTTGAATAATTTGCTCAGTACACAGATTTAAAAGGCATGGAGAAGGGATACGACCTTTCCCAATTTTAAACCTCCTTTGCTCTGTTTGCACAATAGCTCCTTGTCCAAGGTATAGGTTTCAAATGAGCATTGTGAAGTGTTCTTGGATTCTAACTCTCAACGTTTG